CCGCAAGGGAAGGACGCTGTGCTGAGCCCAGGGCGCGAGGGACCCCAGCCTCCCTTCAGCCACCCCTGGGCTTGGTCCTCGGGGTCACTGGTCCCTGGAGGCAAAGGCTGTTCGCTGCGGGAAACAGGGACTTGCAGCTCTGGTGGGTGGCAAGGCAGCCGCCATCCTGGGAGCCCTTCCTGAGCAGAACTCTGGCCTGAATGACAAGGACGGGGGGACAGGAGAGTCACCATCCTTTATGGACCAACATGCGCAGGCCAAAGGCACTTTGTATCCTCACAAAAAACCTCTGCAGGTGCTAAGCGAGCTCAGGGCACCACAGAGCTAAGGAGCAGCAGGGCCCCTGCGGAGCGGGGACAGGGCGCTGAGAGGTCCCAGCCTGGGGGTCACCCTGCCGTCCCCTGCGCTCCCCCCGTCTGCCCTCTCCAGCACCTCGTGCCTCAGTCTCTGGGCACCTCTGCTCCACCCTCGGTCCGCCTCCTGGAACCGACAGCCCCGCGGGATTGTTCACCCCTGAGTTTAAAACACAGGAACCATGTGACCTGGGGACCTTCGCAGGCGACAACCACAGCCTGCACACGCCCCTCGTCTGACAGCCGCACACGGGGACGGGGACCAGGACAAACGTGGCTGATGAGAAGACGGGACGCACTGTGAGGTCGGGGGTCTTGGGGAGCTGGGGTTCAAGTCCCTATAGCTCAACCAGGGCCCTGCCACGGTCCCCAAGTCGAGGTCACCTACCCAAGGCTGCAGGAGGGCTGTCCCCAGGGTCGTGCTCTCCGGGGGTCCTGGCAGCCGTGCCTCCCCAGCCACCAGCTGGTGGCCACGTCGCGGGAGCTGGGGACTGGTGGTTCCTGCCACATGCTGTCACATACCTGGAGGGGAGCCTTCTGGTGATGTCACATTCCTCTGGAGACCTTGCCAACAGATGCCACACCTAGATCCCTGTCTTGGTGGTTTCCTGAGGACACTTACAGGAAGGTAGTGGGCGCAGGGACCCCTGGTGGCACTGTGGATGGCTCCCATGGTGCTGGGGAAATTCAAAATGGGTCCCAGGACTGTCCTCATGGAAAGACCAAGTTTCCAGAAAACATTGAAACCTGCAGAGAAGTCAGTCCACACAGAGTCACGTTAGAACGGCATGGCGCACCCCGGTCATCCCAGCCACTCGGGAGGCTGAGGCAGGAGGATCGCGAGTTCAAAGCCAGCCTCAGCCAAAGGGAGGCCCTAAGCAGCTCAGGGAGACCCTGTCTCTAAATAAAACGCAAAATAGGGCTGGGGACGGGGCTCCGTGGTCGAGTGTCCCCAAATTCAATCCCCAGCACACACACACACACACACAAAAAAAACCTGCCAAACATTATAGATGACTATATGAGGCCAGGTGAGCTGACGCAGGAGTCACCTCTGAACACAGGGTCCACTTCCCAGTCCAGGTCGCACTTCAGACTCATGGTTTGGCAATAAAACTCCAAGCAATTGTCACACTCAACAGCACTGTGGAGAGGGAGTGGGTCAGACGCGCCCAGCCCTGACCACTGACCACGAGAGCTGCTCTGTGGAGACAGGACCTCGTGGGCAGCCAGGCCAGGGGGAGAGCCTCAGTAGAGGACGTCCACCACAACTGGACGGTGTCAGTGCTGGGGAGACCAGAACCTTCTCTCACTCATGAGACTCCCTGGCCACATCTGGAGTCCTTCAGATGAGTCACCTGCTCAGTGACTCGAGGTGAGACAGTCGGACTCCCTGAGCCCTGACCGTGGGCCCGCGGTGACCGTCCACTGCAGACCCGGGCGCCCTGGCTCCTCCCCCTAGTGGACACCTGTCTTGTTCTCAGGAGAAAAGGAGCCGTCGTCACTAAACGGGTGTCACGGAATTCGAGAAAATATGGGTGGGACTCGGTCAGACGTTAGAGCAACTCAGATTCTCTTACACGGCCATAATGAAAGGAGAAAATCGAAGAATTATTTACATATTCAGAAATGGCAAGAGGAACTTTTTACTTATTTTTTGTTGGTGCATCACGGCTGTACACAATGGTGGGGTGCGTGGTCGCACATTCTTACACACACGCTATGACGACATCATTGAGCCAATGTCACTCCCTGGCACTTTGTCCCCTTCCCTTTTCCCACCCCCTGGCTCCCTTCCCTTAGGATCCCCCTTGGATTTTCATGAGGGTCCCACCCGCCACACACACTTTTCTTTTCCTGTGAAAAGAACTTTCTAAGGAGTTAGGGACTTAACTCCTGCTTTTGATCATTCATCAGTTGAAATAATGACTGTACAGTAAATGGGAACAGACCCAATCCAGAAGCAGAGAAATCAGTGTCACCTGTGTCTACAGGACTTTCATCTATTAGGCAGAATACAGCCAGGTAGGGTGGCACACGCCCGTCATACCTGCAGCTCAGGAGGCTGAGGCAGGAGGATGGCAAGGTGGAGGCCAGCCTCAGCAACACAGCAAGGCCCTAAGCAACTCAGCGAGACTCTGTCTCTCAATAAAATGTAAAAACGGCCTGGGGATGGGGTTCAGTGGCTAAGTGCGTGCCCCTGGGTTCAATCCCCAGTACCAAAAAAAAAGGGTCAGCCAGATGAGGGATACTTAGAGTCGCTCAGGACTCTCTGCCGCAGGTTCTCCTGGGACCCAAACTGTAAACAGCAATAGAATAAAGACATCCGTGTGTTAAAATCAGGACGTTGTGCACCTCTGTTCCCGTATCTCATTACATTTCACCTGACCAACGCTGAGAGATCCTCTAGGACCCGGATTCTGAAGGTCATCTGGACCTTAACCTGCACTTGGTGTAATAAACACCGTGATCTATCTGCCTTCGTGTAAAGAAACACGGCCTTTACAGAGAACTGACGTCAGCACTTTGTGTCCGTCATCATGTCAGGGTCAAGGTTTTCCTAAGCACCTACTTAGTCTTACTGTCGTAGTTGACCTTAGACTTTATAGAAGCTCAATTTGAAAATCTGTCACCATTTTTAAAATCCTGGGGCTGGGGTCTGGCGGTGGTAGAGCACTTGCCTGGCCCAGGTGACACCCTGGGCTCCGTCCTGGGCACCACATTAAAAAATGAAAAAAAACAAAGTTTACAAAACTTCACGTTGTTGGAGGGACACTCATGAGTGGCCACTGCCTGCCACATCTTTGAGATGAAGGGGCCCTAAAATCCACCCAAGTAACTTCTGAGTGTCCCAAGTCGAGCTAAAATCATGAGCCACAGAGGGACAAAGTCTCAGTACTGTCCAGAGGGGCCAGAGCTCTGATTTGGGCACATCTTCAAACTTCACCTGGAGGCGGGCGGTTCCCTTTGACTCACTCTTACAAATGACACCGAGCTGCTGCTTTTAGCCACTGCCAGGAGGGGACTGTCCCCTGGGTGACAGCTGCCGTCTGAGTGGCTCTCTGCGTGTTGATCACAGAAAACATCTGCAAGGCCAGGGGTCACCCTGGCCGGGCCAAGAAGCTCGCTGGCCATTTCTGGTCCCCTGCTTCCCCTCGCCCCGTCCTGACTGCTGACCTGGGCCAGATGCCCTGCGTCACCTGGGGCTCAGAGCAAGGGACCGGCCGTCTGTGGACTGAGACCCCTGAAATCATGCGCCCCAATAACCCCTCCTCCTCTTAGGGAAGAGAAAGGGCGTCCCTGTCCCTCACTCTGCGGAGCCTGGACCTCATTCTTGGGCAAGATCTTCCTGGAGCAGATCCTGACCGGCCCCCGGCCTGCCTGACCAGGGCGGGGGTCCCCGTCTCCTTGGGCTCTTCCTGGGCCTGAGGGACCAGGGGAGGGCTCCCAGTGACCAGGCCTGGGTCACCTGCCCATCCCTGGGGCTAGGCGCAGGATGGTCCCCAGTGCGGACAGGTGGTTCCCTCAAAGGAAACCAGGAGGGGACAGGGATGGCGACAGACACAGCCGATGCTGTGGGTGACCTGACTCGTGGTCACCACTTCCCAGAAGAGACCTCAGTGTGACTTTCAGCCCCGGCTCGGGACGCACTGGGAGGCCCTGGACTCGGGGCGGTGGAACTCAGGCTTGGTCTAGGGCCGGGCCCGGGGTGGCTGCAGTCCCCTGGCCGGGGTCTCGCTGGGGACCTGCCACCAGGTGGGGTGTTAGGCTGGGGGTAAGTGTCGGGTCCCCAGAGCTCCTGGGAAGGGCAGCTACTTGGAGAGAGTCCACGGGCACCGGACAGGCTACTGCTCCCTGCAGAGACGGTGTCCCCAGCCCCTGCTCGGGCCTGGTCAGGCCTGGCCTTGTGGATACCCAGCGAGTCCACAGGCCGGTGACCAAACTGGGGACCTCAGGACCTTGCAGTCAGCGTTTGTGGGCTGTCCCCAGACACTGGTGTCCCCCCCCCACCACGGCTGGACAACACGTCCCTCTCCCCGCCCTGCGCCCTCTTCTGCGTGACCACCACCTGCCAGATGTGCAGATGTGCCAGCTGTGAGGCCGAGCCAGGCGTCCCTGACCCCAGGAAGAAAAGGCCATGCGCGTGTTCTGAATTCCCTTCCGGCCCGTCACTCCATGCGAACACACCAGAGCGTGTAGATTCCTATTTTCTTGGCAGCTTCTAGAAGTTTCCAGGGTGTGGCCCCTGGGGGTTTTCAAACGGATGACTCCAGAGGAATTTCTTCCCGGGCTCCTCCCTGCCAGCCCCACCTGCCGCGCTGTGGGCATCCAGGCTGGGGACTTGACAGGGACCCACCTGTCCTCGGGAAGGTGGGAAATGACAGAAGGAGGAGGAGCCCGTGGTGGCTTCAGACTCACCTGGCTCCCGACCCAGTGGGACCAGTGAGGTGCCCCGAGGTCACCTGAGGATGGCAAGGCCTCTCCAGGAGCAGCCTGGGCTGGTGCTGGGATGTCCCTGCCCTGTCACCAGCAGCAGGTCAGAAGGCACAGAGGGAACGGCCCGTGAGGTCTGCCAAGCCCCCATCTGACTTATTCCAAATGCCCACTCACTTTCTCTCCCCTGATGGCTTTCAAGAGAATCGTGGCTTCGAAATAATTTGATTTATTCAATACATGCCACCACCAGGTGTCCAGTATGCGCCAGGTGTGGAGGGACACTCCGTGATCCCCGCGACTCGGGAGGCTGAGGCAGGAACATCTCAAGTTTGAGGCCAGCCTCCAACACTGCGCAACACTCCGTCTCAACATCAAGAGGCAGGTGGCGGGAGGCTAGGAGCGAGGCTCGGTGGTGGGGCCCTCGACTAGTAGGGACGGGGCCCTGGGTCCCAGAACTGAGAAAAAGAAAGAAAAAGGGAAAAAGAGACTTTTTGGTGGATCACAGATAGACAAGGGGACAACAGCCCCCAGAAGAGTAAGCCCAGGAGGCCGGGGGACGGTGAGGTGGGAGAGGGAGGGGGTCAAGGGGACCTCAGAGGCCCAGGTGTCATTGCAGACAGGGATGAAGAATCCAGGAGGGGGACAGAGATCTGCCTGAGGCCAAAGGAGAGGCCTCTCTCACGTGGGAGGCCCTGGGTAAGCAAATCAAATAAAGGTAGTACGTCCATTTACGACTAAAAATATTTTTAAAATATAATAATATTCTATCCCAGCGGCTCGGGAGGCTGAGGCAGGAGGATGGCAAGTTGGAGGCCAGCCTCAGCAACTTAGCAAGGCCCTAAGCAAGTCAGGGAGACCCTGTCTCTAAATAAAATGCAAAATAGGGCTGGGGACGGGGCTCAGTGGCTGAGTGCCCCCAAGTTCAATCCCCAGTACCCCCCAATAAAGTAATACATAGTAGAAATCATCTAAGAAACCCAGAGAATGCACCTAAATTTCACGTCTTATTTTTTTTTTCAAATTAAATGTGGATTTTGTTTTGTTTTGTTTTTTGGGTACTGAGGACTGAACCAGGGTCACTCAGCCACTAAACCCCATCCCCAGTCTTATTTTATTTTGTATTTTGAGACAGGGTCTCACCAACTTGCTTAGGGCCTCACTGATTTGCTGAGGTCAGCCTCCAACTTGTGATCCTCCTGCCTCGGCCTCCCAAGTCACTGGGCTAACAGGCGTGCACCACCAAGCCCCGATCAATCACACATTTTTTTAACTGCTGCATAAAAACATAAAAATGGTCTTTTTTATCCTCAAATATTTATCATGGGCAGCAGTTTTCCAGATCTTTTCTGGTAGACTTCTGAAGTGGACAACCCATGACAGCACATGACGTATTGTCCCTGGTGTCCTCGTGCAAGAGCACACCAGCCCTTCTTGCCCCTCTGAGGTGGATGAAGGACCCGTTACTGCTCAGCCCCACTTCCTTATCTCAACTGTGACAGCAGGTGGCGCTCTTCTGCCTTCGCAGCGTCCTTGGTCTATAGGCAACATGAGCGACGTTGGCCTGTGAGCCCCGGCTCCTTACCCCCTTCAATCCCGGTGGTTGGTGAGACTCCATCCTACGCTCTGCTGCTGCTGCCAAAAGCTAAGTACAGAAAACATTCCATGTTCCACAGGCGCCAGGGGGAAGTTGTAAGTTGATTCGGAGCCCAGCACCGTGGCTCGCAAGATGTGAACCAGACTCAGCTTCCCCCACCCTCAGTTTCCTCCTCCAGGAAAGGGGGACAGTGAGCCTGGCCCATGTCTGTCATCCCAGCATCTGGGGAGGCTGAGGCAGGAGGATTGCAAGTTGGAGGCCAGCCTCAACAACTCAGCGAGGCCCTAAGCAACTCAGGGAGACCCTGTCTCTAAATAAAATATCAAATAGGGCTGGGGACGGGGCTCAGGGGTTGAGAGCCCCTGAGTTCGACCCCCTGTACCCACAAAAAAGAAAAAATAGTAACAATAGCAGGGCCCAGATTTTCAGGCCAAAAGAATTGCCCAAACTAGGAGGACCCAGGACTCATCAGGGGGCCAAGCGACGTCCCCTTCTGCCCTCCGCCACCTCGGTTCTCAGCAATGCTGTCCCCTGGGCAGCTTTAAGGGTGCGGGAGAAATAAGTGGGACCGGCTCACTCAGCAAGGTCACCCAGCAGCATCACGAGACGGTGACATCACCGTCAGGTTCTGCCCAGGAAAATGCAGGGCCCAGATCACCAAGGGGAAGGGCAGGTCACCGTCAGGGCAGGTGGACAGGCTTCGGGACAGGTCTCTGTCCTGGGTGAGGGCTGCCATATCCCCCAAGGGGCCCCGGGGCCACACCTGTCCCTGCTCAGTTGGCCCTGAACAGGGACACGCTGGGGACGGCGGAATCCTACCAACAGGTCCCCCCCCTCCTTTCCTAGAAGAAATGTCAACAACTGCCAGAATCAAAATAGACGGTGACTCTCGTCCCAGGAATCCTGTCCGGGCCAAGCCCAGGCCCAGGGTGCCCTTGGGGACAGATAAGCAGAATCTCCAAGTCATCAGCACTGGGGTGGAGGTGACGGCCCAGGAGGGCAGCAGCCAGCCCCTGGCTCCCCGGGGGCTGTGTCCACTGAGCTGCGTCTCGGTGCCCTGGAGGGACCCTCTCCTGAAGGTGACTCGGATCCAGGGCCCATCGGGGAGAATCCCCTTGTCATGGGGACTCAGGGTCTTCAACCTGACCCCACTGCAGCTCCGCAGCCTCAGGAGGTGCCATGGAGTCCACCCCACACCGGCTCCAGGTCTCGATGGTGGGACGCTGTCTTCCGTGGGGGAGAGGGAACCTGGGGTGCCCTTCCCAAAGCACAAATAAAAATGGAAAAAATTCTACCTTGGGGAACTGGACCGTCTCTTTGACATCTTGAGAGATCAAATTAAATTTCTTTATACTATCATCAGCTTTTCTTTCTTTCTTTTTTTAATTTTTCTTTTATTTTTGGTACTAGGAATTGAACTCACGGGCCCTCAACCCCTAAGCACCATCCTCAGCCCTATTTTGAATTTTATTGAGAGACAGAGTCTCCCTGAGTTGCTCAGGGCCTCACTAAGTGGCTGAGGCTGGCCTCCAACTTGCGATCCTCCTGCCTCAGCCTCCCCAGCTGTGGGGATGACAGGCGTGACCCCCTGCCCCCAGCTTATTTTTTATTGTGGTCAAAGAATTGCAAAATGTACCCTCTTCCCCATTTTAAGAGTATAGTTCACAAATGTGAAGTCCATCACACAGATGTGCAGTATGTGGGGACTTTTCTTAAAGCAGCGCCCTCCTGGATGTCTCTGAAGTATTGAAGATGTCCCCTGTGCACCAAGTCCTTGTCCTGGTCGCAGTGCTTGATTGCTCTGCCTGAACCTGATTCCAAAGGTCTCAAAGCCTTGAAAAGCAACTCTGCACAAAATCATGGGCAACACGAGGGTCGCTCTCAGCAGACTGTGAAGTCATTCTTTCCTTACCAGAAGCCAAAGTCCTTCAGGCAGACAGTGCCCGGCCTGGCAGAGGGACAGCTGGCCTCGCGACGGTGGGTGGGGACCTGGCTAGGTGTTCAGATCACTCCGCTTCTGCCCAGAGCCTTCGATGGCCTCCCATCTCACAGAACAGCCCTGGCCTCTGACCTCACCTCCTTCTGCCCAGACGCAGTGGTCTCCTTGTTGGTTTGTGTGAACTGGGACTTGAACACGCGGCCCTCTGCCGCGGAGCTGCCTCCCCATCCCGTGTCGTTTTGTATTTTGAGACAGGGTCTGGCCAAGTGGTCCAGGTTGACCTTCTGAGGACCAGTACCCTTCCCAGGTCAGCCACCGCAGCATCACCAGGGGACCGTGTGCACACCTGTCATCCCCATGACTCTGGAGGCTGAGGCAGGAGGATCACAAGTTGGAGGCCAGCCTCAGCCACTTAGCGAGACCTGTCTCAAAATTACAGAATAAAAAGGGGCTGGGGATATAGCTCAGTGGTAGTGTCCCTTGGTTCAGTCCCCAGCACCAAAGAAAAACAAAAAGGCCAAGTTTCAGTCCCCCTCCCAAAGTTGCTGAAGTCAGAAACGTCAGCGTAGGGCCCAGGACTCTGCGTGGCCGTCCGGTTGATTCTGATGCCACCAGGTTTGGAGAACCGCTGTATTCCATGTGCCTTGGGGACTGACAGCCCCGCACACCCAGGAAGCGGGTCAGATGTGCGGATCTCTGATGCAATCCCAGCTGGCACTGAGTCAGAACCTGCATTTGAGCAAGAGCCTCGGTGACTCACGCGCATTCTATATCCAGAGCTTCCTGGGGGCCCCGGCGGGGGCTCAGTGACAGAGCGCTCGCCCAGCACCTGTGAGGCCCTGGGTCCGCCCTCGGCACCACATAAAAACAAATAAATGAAATATTGTGCCCATCTACAACTGGGGGGATAAATGCAGCAGCACTTCCTGACCCGTCCCCCAAGGGGCCTGGAAGCAATGACATATTGGGAGCAGGAGCCCCCCCCCACCACCAGATCATGGATCCTAAACATTTTTGAGCCCCAAAAGGATCCAGGCTCATCGGAGAGATGGCTGCTTCCAAGGCTGAGGCAGGGAATGTCCCCCAAGTCCCATGTGTTCAAAGCCTGGTCTCTGGCCTGTGGCACGGCTGAGAGGGGGTGGGACCTTTAAGAGGCGGAGCCTAAAGGAAGCAAGTGAGGTCATTGGGGGCGGGCCCTTTCCCTACAAAGGGCTATTAGAACCCTGGCCCCTTCCTCTCTCCTCACTTCCCAGATGCCACGAGGTGACAGGTATCCTCAGCCACGTGCTTCTGCCACGATATTCTGCTCTCACCACGGACCCAGCGGCCGTGGGGCCCAGCAAGCATGGGCTGAAACCTTTCCTCTGTGTAAGCTGCTTACCTCGGGTGTTTTGTCACAGCAACAGAAACACCGACTACTAAGTAGGAGCAAAGATGGAGGAAGAAAGAAGATCGCCTGTGGATCCTCCAGGTATTGACACTGTAAAAGTCCCTCCCCGCAAACCAGTCAGGAATTAAAGGGAAAAGTAGCGACTTCAGAGTGGAGAGACCTGGGGCTGGGGAGACCCCCACAAGCACACAGCCCAGGCCACCATCCCCAACACTGGAGCCGACCAACCTGCGTGCCCACTGATGTCCTGCCCTTACCAATGGGGACATTGCAACTTCTGTGGCTGTCCTGACAGAGAAAAGGACATGTGCTGAGCACTGAGCCCTATCCCCAGCCCTTTTTGCATTTTATTTAGAGACAGGATCTCACTGAGTTGCTCAGGGCCTCACTAAGTTGCTGAGGCTGGCCTCCAACTTGCGATCCTCCTGCCTCAGCCTCCTGAGCCCTGGAGTGACAGTCGTGGACCACTTGGAGGAGACAAGAAATGAGACAAATGTATGAACAAAACTAGTTCAACCTACACAGCACCGTGACGATGGGAAAACAGAACAGATCCAGTGCTCAGAGACATCAGCCAAACCCGAATAGAGGAATGTTCCAGAGAATAATCAGAGTGCACTCTGCCGGGGTCAAGAAAGACAACCTGACCAGGGAACGGCTCCAGACCAAAGCCGGCCAGAGACGGGGCGGGAGAATATAATAGGTGATGTTGGACCTGGAGGGACCCGCGGGGTTCCAGAAGGTTACTCTTGGAGCCACTGACCAAATCTAAACCTGGACCGATTAGCTGTGGACACGGTGATGTCAGGGAAGGGCCATCTCCTTAGGAGGACGTGGGGCCACCAGGGAAATAGGGGTGCCTTGTGCAGTCCCAGGTGGCTCTGGGGACAATGCGTGTGTGGCTGTGCCTGTGACCATGTGTGACTGTGTGTGGCTGTGGGGGGCGCATGGCGTCTGTTCACAGAGAGGGACCGTGACAGACGGTGGGTGGATCTGCACAGTGAGACCTGATTGGACTTTTCTTGCGGATTTTCTGCAAGTTTAAGATCCCAGCCGAGCCCTTCCCTCCTCTCGCCAAAAAGCACCATAGAATCCACACCCAAGGGAGCCAGGTGACAGCGGCATCTGGGGGCTCAGGGGCGGGAGGCCCTGGCTTCCCTCCCAGCACCCCGAAAAGTCAAGAAGGAAAGGTGGGGGCTGCTCTGGTTCCCAAGTTCAGCTGTTCCTTGATCCTCACCGGGACCCTTCAGTTCCGCCTGCAGTGTCCCTACTGGGTCCATTCACGGGTCCCGAGGGCCTGCTCTCTGCCCTACCCACAGGGAGTCCACCAGCCACGTTAGCAAGAGCTGCCTGAGAAACCAAGGCTCAGAGAGGTTGCCCAGCTACCTGAAGTCACACAGCAAGTGCCCAGCCGACCTGGGAAGCTCCCCTGCTCCCTCCACCCCAGTGACAAGGTTACACAGACCAGTGACACTGGGGGGTGGCTCCCTCAGAGCCATCACACCTACCTGCGTCTCGTGACCCCAGCACTAATCCTCGCTGTTCCCCTTTCTCGGCAGAAAAAACCCAGAACGTGCTGTATCTCGGCCATTTCTGCTTGTGGTTTTGATTATCCATGTTCCTTCTTGGTCCAAGCTCAAGATAAGCGAGAGACGTTCTGCTTTACTGGGCAAAGGTCAGGTTCAGTGGATCTGAGCCGGAGATGGGATCGGATAACCTTGGCAGCAGTGAGATCTGGGGGGGAGGAAGGAACAGAATAAAACCCACATCAAAAATGTCTCCTGAAGACACGGAGCCCCCTCAGGGAGCAGGGCAGCTCTTAACCAGTGGCCTCAATTCTCGTCCCCCTCATGGATCCTGTCCCTGCACGAAAGCCCCCTGCTGGTCAGTCCCTCAGCTCATTAGCAGGCCCCGTTTCCTGGTCTCTGGTCTGGAGAGCAGGACAAGTGCAGGTCTAAGGAGGTCAGTTCCTGGGACTAGTGTGGGGCCACCTTCTCTGCCTTCTGGAAGCAGCTGACTATGTCGAGAATCGCAAAGGCATTATCTGTGGGCATCTGAGGCAGAGCCCTGGCAGGAACGCGTAGTGGGTGGGTAGAGAAAGGGGACACAGGAACAGAGCTTCGTCATTCTAGAGGGAGACATGCACCATCTCCGTTCACTAGGGCCACAGGGTTCAGAGGTGGCGAGGCGGTGGGCCAGCAAACAGCTTTGTTCTTTGGAACTATTATTCACAGACAGCTCCCTCAGGGGAGAGGCCTTTCTTGTTGCTGATGAATGTCACTTTTTTTTTTTTTTTTTAAGTGTGCCACACAGCTAAACTGGCAAGCGAATGATGAGGACATTCCAATCACCCCAAGAAGGGACAGCTTTGGTTTACACCCAACATGAGCTACGACACGTGATCCAGAAGGAGCATCGCAGGAGAATTCAGTCACTATGTGTTTCAGTCCGTTTTCTGTTGCTGTTACACAATACCAGAGGCTGGGGGATTTATGAAGTAAAAAGGTTATCTAACTCATGGTTCTGGAAGGCGAGAAGCCCAACAGCACAGCAGAGGCATCTGGTCAAGGCCTCCTGTCTCATCATAACAGGGCGGAAGGGCAAGTGAGCATGTGTGAGACAGAGTGTGCAAGGCGGCCAGATTTATAACAAACCCACTCTTGTGATCATTGACCCACACTCACACACTACGGCTTTTCTTCAGCTCGTACAAATCTATTGCTTTTTACCAGTCCCTGTCCCCAGTGATAGTAGCAACTGGGGGGCATCACCTGACCTCTTGACACTGTCACAATGGCAACTAAGTTTTGACACGGGCTTTGGAGGGGACACTCAGACCACAGCGGTAAGGGCGTTGTGCGTATTTGAGAAACATCTTTAAGGAGGACGGGCGACATGGGCCGTGCACTGTGTAGCTTGACAGGAATTGGGGCAGCGCCTGGGATTCCCCCTGACACAGCTTTGAGCCCCAGAAAGCTCCATTACTGATCAGGAACCCCAATACCCAGAGAAGGTGAGCATCATGGTGGAAGGTGGGGCGCTGTCGGCTCAGCAGGCCCCCATTTTAAATCCTGACCCCATTAACGGCAGCTCCTGATCATCGACGTCCTCCTCTGTGCAGGTGTGGCCCGTGGCCTGACCCACTGGGAGCGACAGTCCTTCAAGGTGGGTGCTAGAGACTCGTTTGCAGATGAAGAGACTGAGGGTCCCAGAGACAGGATGTGATTAGCTGTGCCAAATGGCAGAGCCAGAATCTGAAGCCAAGTCCACCCAACTCAAGATCAATGTTCTTTCTTTCTTTATGATTACTATTATTGGGTACCAGGGATTGAGCCCTGTCCCCAGCCCCTTTTATATTTTATCTAGAGACAGGGTCTCACTGAGTTGTTGCTCAGGGTCTCACTAAGTTGCTGAGGCTGGCCTCCACCTTGCGATCCTCCTGCCTCAGCCTCCTGAGCTGCTGGGATTCCAGGCGTGGGCCATACGCCCAGCTCAGATCCATGTTCCTTCCGGCTGTTCACAGTCTCCACTCAAAGGTAGGGGTCACTGACCCCATTTTGAGCAAACTGTGTGCTCACTAACCCCAAATCTCTGCCAATGGTTCCTCTGCAAGAATCTCTGGACTTTGTACAATGCCAGAGCTGGGGGCCGACCCGAGGACACCCCAACACATATCTGCCAAATCCATGTCTGACTCCAAAGTCATGCCCTCTGCCCCCCACCATCTCGCGGCTTCCTGAGAACTCCAGGATGGGAAAAATTCAATTTTGAAAGTGCAAATCCACTTAGGGGCCCCCCACCCAGGCTGGATTTACGAATTCCTTTCCTGTGGGTACTTTCATGCTCACCAGAACACGACAATAAAGCGAGCTTTCTGAATGGGGTGTCAGTCAGACTGTGCACATTTTTCTGATTAGCAATTAAGCCTGTTGTGGGATTAATGTCTTCCCCGGGGCAGTTCCTCCGAGAGCTGCCTGCTGGCTGGGCTTGCTCTCTGCCTCTCCTGCGGGGACCAAGCGCACCAGGGGGAACATTTCTTTTCCTGAGTCTGATTCTTTCTCCAAACGTTCAAAGCCTTTTTGATTTTGCAACTGACAGTCTCTGAGACACTCGCCTCAGGCTGCGACTTTCTGAGACTCTAGACATTCCCCAGACTTTGGTGGGACAGGGGGACAATGGAGGTGGCTTCCAATTCCTAAGAGTGGAGAGTCCCGCCAAGGTCAGCTGACAGGGGAGCGCCCTGTGTTGCTAATCACGGTCAAGTTCACGGGAGGTTCTGTTGGGGGTCATTACCCTCCAATCCATCTGCACTCTTTTTTTTTTTTTGGTACCAGGGATTGAACTCAGGGGCACTCGACCCCTGAGCCCCGTCCCCAGCCCTGTTTTGCATTTTATTGAGAGACAGGGTCTCGCTGAGCTGCTGAGGGCCTCGCTTTGGCTGAGGCTGGCTTTGATCCTCCTGCCTCAGCCTCCCAAGCAGCTGGGACGACAGGCGTGCACCACCGCACCCGCCTTGCACTCATTTTTAGCAACTGGAATTCTAAAAATTCCCTCTGAAACCCCATCTAAACATCACTGCTGCCCGTGACTGTGGTGGTGTTTATGAATCAGGATGTGGTTTAGCATCTCCGCAGACCCAAGTCAAAACACTGCATTTTGAATTCCAATCTCTCTGGATTGAAAGGGATCCTACAGACCCCCCCAAATCCAGCTTTCCCTAAAGTTTGTTTCACAAAACGCCTCCCCAAGATACTGTGCCCAGGAAAATGTCCTCTGTCGGGTGAGTCTGGGAATCCTGATATTCTCTGCCTCCCTATTCCAGAATCAGGGTGCCCAAGAGGAGGCTCAAGTTTCCCGTCCTGGGCTGGGGAGGCGGCTCAGTGGGGCAGCCCGTGTCCAGCATGTGTGGGGCCCTGGGTTCCATCCCCAGAACCGTGCAAAATGTTTCCAAGTCCTGCAGTTCATATATTTTGTTCAACTCTGTCCTAACAAGGATTGCCAAAATTTCTGGACCTGGGAAGTCGTGGGTGGTGGCAGAGGTGGGAGCCTGTCCCCAGCCCCTGCCCCCAACCTCTCTCTCCCTCTCTCCTAAAAATGCCTTCTGAAAATACTCTGGGAAACATCATGCTCATCAGACCAGCCTTTTCTTGTATTTTATCAGAACCAGGGTCTCCCTGAGCTGCTCAGGGCCTCACTAAGTCGCTGAGGCTGGCCTCCACCTTGCCCAGTGCCTAGCTAGGTTTGCTATTCTTATCAGCTACAGTTCCCGGGTAGGACTAGAAAACGACTGTGAGCAGAAATGGCGGGGTGATAAACCAAGAGCTCACTTAGGTTTTACTGAACCAGATAAACTGATTCTGAAGCTTCTTATACTGAAAAAGATAATGACTTCAGTTCCTCCTGGGTGACTTTCCAGCTCTCCATTTGGGAAGAGAGTGTCCAAACGTGGTCACTTGGCCTCTTTTCCAGCTGTAGATTTCTTCTATCAAAGCAGATTTTAGTCCCAAGGTGAGCAGGTGAGAAAGGTAGCTGACTCCGCCCACTGGAGAAGTGGCTTGTGACATCAGTAATTTCATCGTTTTAAATGAAAATTGAGACAAAGAAAAGTGAATTGTATTAACTTGGGGTTAACAATTAACAACAAGAGCAACCACCAAAAAATAATTTTTAAAAAAACCCTCAAGACCGGTTTAAGAAAAAAAATGAACAGGCAGGGGTGGGAGTGCAGGTGCGGCTGTATCCAGGAGCTCAGGTCAGGTCTGTAGGTCCACTTTCCCTGCTGTTGATTCCTTCCCACTCGGGTCCTCCCTTCAGAGCACCAAGGTGGCTGCGGCAGCACCTACTGGACATTCTACAGCTGGGCCGGTCCCCCCTTCCCCAACATCCCAACCAAAGCCTCAGGATCCAGGATGCTCCGTCGGAGCACGTGGGCGGCTCCTGGGTCACTTTCTTCCTCCTGCAGATGAAGTGGACGTGGGTGTGGGACTGTGGTCTCCTGCCTGGGGTCTCCTCTTATCTCTTTCCGTTTCCAAATCTTGTCACTTTGCGTTCAGTTAGCCAGGCTCTTAAAGCCACCTCACGTGGTCCCTGGGGATTAGGCCCCGAGTTGGGCCCCTGCTGATCCAAGGCAGGTCCAGTAGACGCCACTTCAGGCAGAGCGGGGCAGCATCTCGTGGGTGCCAGGGTGGCCCACGAGCTTCCTTCTTGTGCCACTTACAGCGGTCCCCACCTATCCACAGGGACACCTTCCAAGACCCCCAGTCACGGGCTCGGGCTGCAGATGGGACAGAAGTGTCACATCTGTGATGAAGCCCACTTTATGAATCAGGCACAGTAAGGGACTGAAACCACGCAACTGAAGACCTGTGGGGCTGTGTGTTCTGGAACCTTCCACTGAGCATGCTTGGACCACGGTAACGGAGAGCACAGGAGATGGACCCACAGGCTGCGGGGAGCTTGTGTGTGATCACTGGTGGCTGCTGCCTGGGGACAGGGAGGATGGCAAGTCCACACTCAGGAAGAAGAGGCCATGGTTGGTCACCAGTATCTGTCAGGGGCTGGGACTGGACGCTGGTCCCAGAAATGCCACAGATGGACGGGATTTCATGGAGGAAACATCGTGGAGGCTGACCCCCGTGTCCATGGGCACCTACCCTCTTAGCCCTGTGAACACCAGGAAGTCACTCAGGGTGACAGTCACTCGTGTCCCCAGGTGCACGACAAAGATGCTCGTCCTAAAGAGAATAAATGGAGATCGTATGTGGGAAGTGTTGGGTCCCCATAAACGGAATAGATGGACGCTGTGGTTCTTTTTTTGGTACCAGGATGGAACCCAGGGTCACTTGCCCACTGAGCCCCGTCCCCAGCCCTTTTTATATTTTATTTAGAGACAGGGTCTCCCTGAGTTGCTTAGGGCCTTGCTGAGTGGCTGAGGCTGGGCTTGAACTCACGATCCTCCTCCCAAATTGCTGGGATGACAGGTGTCCCCACCACACCGGCTTCTCTTTCACTTTTGAAGGTAGTTTTCCTGGATATGGAATTCTCGGCCGACCATTTTATTCTCTCAGCACATTGAGTAAGCCATCCCACTGTCTCTGGCCTCCAGGGTTTCTGATGAGGCATCAGCGAGCGGTGGCTCTTACTGAAGTGCCTCCTTCATTTCTCGCTGCTTTGAGGACTCGGTCGTTTTGGTCGATGTGTCTCCGTGAGGACCTGAGGACTCACTGAGGTTCTGGATGTTCAGATTGTTACCTCTGGTCAGATTTGCCATGTTTTGGTCCTCCCCAGTGCCGCTATGCCTTTTGCCCCCTCTCTCTCTCCCCCCTCCTTCCAAGGCCCCTGGGATGCACACGCTGGTGCACCTGGTGACAGGCCCCAGATCTCTGTCCACCCTCCTCCACCGCCTCTCCTCCCTCTTCTGTCTCCTCCTCCTCCTCTTCCTTCTCCCTGATCTCTCTCTCAGACGAGGTGATCTCCTTTCCTCTGTCTTCCAGTTTGTCGATTCTTTCTTCAGCTTGCTCAGGAACGCTGCTGCTGACCCTGACACGTTCAGCGTCGCAGTGCTCACACTTCTCGACCCCAGCTCTGCTCTGCGGCTCCCCTGGTCTCCATTTCTCTATTAATATTCTCTTTCTATGGAATCACACACACGGTTCCCTTTAGCTCTTTGAGTGTATATCAATTAAGCCGACTTCCATGTTTATTAAGTCCAGTGCCTTCCCTTCCTCACACACCATCTCCATTAATTTTTCCCTGTGTATAGGCCCTACTTTGTGGCCTTTCATGGCTCATAGTTTTTTGCTGAAAGTGGAACATTTTGACATTACAATATTGTCCCTCTGGAACTCACATTCCCCACCCCCTTCACCAGGTCTGTAGATGTTTCTTGTCGTGAGTGTTGTTTTCTATAATGTGCCTCAGATATTTTCTGCTGCCCCAAGTCGTGTACTAGAAATGTGCATCAGGCACGTGCACAGCTGTCTTCAAGGGCACTGCTGGGCCAGGGCGACTGGGATCAGGGAACTCTATCATCAAGGTTCTGTGATATTTCATGTATTTATTTATTTGGGGGGTATCAGGGATCGAACCCAGGGGCGCATGACCACCGAGCCCTGTCCCCAGCCCTATTTTGTATTTTATTTAGAGACAGGGTCTCCCTGAGCTGCTTAGTGCCTCGCTAAGTCGCTGAGGCTGGCCTCCAACTTGCAATCCTCCTGCCTCAGCCTCCCAAGCCACTGGGATGACAGGCGTGGGCCACGGCACCCAACCTGGTGATTTTTTGTTCCCTGCTTTCCTTTGATGTAAGCATTGTTGGCTACGAGGAAGCCTTACTTTTCCAACTTGCAGTAAAGTTGATCTGAGAGGTGCTGCCAGTTCATTCACTTTTTTTGGCAGGGGGTGGGCACCAGCAGCGGAAGGGACTGTCCTTCAGCAGGTCTCCTGCTCCTGCCCCCTCGGGCCTGGCCACTGAGGTCCAAGCAGGCTGCCCTCCCTCGGCCAGCCCTGGACCTCTGGGCCATCGGACTCCAGCCTGTCACCCCAAGGTGGCTTCCAGGTTCCCCCTTGCTGGGCTCTGGGCCCCTCAGAGCTCCGCCACGCCTTCCTGTCACTGTCACCTGGTGACTTGGTCCTCAGACCTGAGGTGTCACTTGACAGTGACATTCTCTGCGAGCCCTTCATGCAGACGACTTTGCCTGTTTTCTTTCAGACGCTCCCTTCTCCTTCCTGCTGGGGCCTGTCGGGTCCTGTCTTGGTGGATTAATCCACTTCTGCCAACTTGTCCACACAGAAAGTGGGCACAGGCCCTGAACGTCCCCCGGGCAGGTGGAAGGGGACGGGGAGGCTGTGGGTCAAAGACGAGGCCCAGCCTTCCAGCCTTGACCTTCAGTCCTGGGAGGGAGGGAAGGGGCTCCCCAGCCCTCGCCTGAGCCCTGAGCCCCTCTGGCTCCTCGGGACAGCAAGTCGCCTGTGTCTCCAAACGCTCTCCTCGGCGTCCAACCCTGCGTCTCCAGAGCATCCCCAGGACCCTGCAGCCTCTGGTGCCCTGGGGGGAGGGGGAGTGGAACCTTTAAGAGGTGTGGCCTATTGGGAGAAAGTTAGGTCATTGGGGGCGGGCCTTTGAAGGGTGACCTCCAAGTTGCTAAGTCACATGGTCAGTGGTCACTCCTCACTGTCTCTTGACCAATCAGCAGCAGTGGACGTAGCTGCTGACTCCCTTTCCTGAAGCACACTTGCCCCTTCCAGGAGACCATTCCTCTGGGTTCTCCTCCTCTGTCTCCTTGGCTGCCTTGACCTAGGGCTGCTGGGCTCAGGCCTGACTCCCCTTCTTCTCCACCGACTCGTTCTCTTGATGAGCGATGTCATCCTGTCCTGTGTAGGTTTTAAGCAACTTGTTGAGGTTAACAACACTCAAACCGATATCACTACCTTGGGCCTCTTCCCAGGGCCCAATGTAGTGATATTGGTTTGAGAGTCAGGATCAACTCACTGACAAAGTGTCCCTGGACGTCACTCTGTATTCAGGTGCCCCTTGCAACCTCCTCTTGGATGATTACGGGTATGTCGAACTCATCTTGTGTTAGTCAGCTCTGTGTTACTGTGACTAAATACCCGAGATAATCAGCTTAAAGGAAAGAAAGGTTTGGATACAGTTTCAGGGGATTCAGTCCCACTAAGGGAATGAACTAGGTGGGCTCCGTGACGATTGGCAGATCCAATCAATGCAGTTATTTAAAATTTCTCTTTTCACGTGCATCTCAGGGATATGTCCAAGACGTCATCTCATAAATAGCTATGAACTGGGATTCTAAAGAACTAGCTCACTGCGGGCTGCTGATGGACTTTTTTGTATGTTTTTGGAACAAATACGTCAAGCATTACGACCCTCAAGACTCATCTCTTCCCTCTCTGATCCAGCTCGCTGAGGGCACCAGGGCCTTCTCTTGCTGGCGGAGCCCTGTGTCTCGGCCATGATCCCCCAGATGACCCTGGTCAGCTCTGCTCCTCGCACTGGGCTTCCTTTTCCCACTGTGAGGCCTGCAGGGTCCTCGAGCCCTGGCACCCTGCGGTGTCTTTCTCCTGGGACGGTCCTGACATTGACTTTCGCCCTCCCTGGGAAAGCGAGTCACGTCAGCAGGTCCTGCTATCTCAGGAGCCTCCTCCACAAGAGAGCCCTCCCCCGAGTTCATTGATAAAGTGTCCCCAAACTTCTCAATGAGCCACACGCTGCAGAGCCATGACAGGGGGCTATATCTGGACAGACCTGGCATCTGTCATCTGTTCTGTGTGAATGGCCACAGGCAGAAGGAGCCCAGGAGCCGTCCTGGTGAAGAGTGGAGGTGATGATTGATGTCACCCGCCCCCTGCGGGGCCCAGCCGGGACGGCAGGATGCAGGCCGACAGCTGCCCGGGCTCCACACCACCCTCAGCACAGCAGGAAACAGTGACTTGAGGCTCTCGGGCCTGTCAGCGGCTCGGGCTCTCGGATAAGGTTGTCAGGGAAGGGAAAGGACAGTCCCAGGAAGGGGTGAGCTTCCTGTCCTTGGAGGCACTCTGTCCAGGAGGGCAAGATGGACGGCGCTGCAGCAGGGGCTTCTCCTGACCTAGGGAGTGGCCACATCGGCCCTGTTCCCACGATGGCACTGGGACCGAGCCTGGCCATAGTCAGAGACACAGGGTCAGGGCTGATCTGCTTGGGCATCGCTAGGGACACAGGAGACGGGGGGCAGGGGATGTGGACTGAGCAAGCCGGGCTGAACTTCTAGAAGGACAGCCAGGACCTGGTGTCATCGAACCAGAGACAACGGAGGACGGAGGATTCAATCCTCAGAAGGGGACACGAGATCAGGAGGAGATGAGCCAAGGTCAACCAGGGTCAGAGGACAAGGGGACAAGGAGAGCTTTCCTCAGTAGGACACAGGGAGACGCACCGGGCACGGGCCCGACTTTAAAAATGACCAGAAGTGGGGTGCGCGTCCCGTCTGCAGAGGTCACCGCAGGGCAGAGCCCAGGGCCACCGTCATAAAAGGGCCAATTTGGCAAAGTAGAAACGCTCAGGGGCCATGTTCCCCCCTCAGTGAAAATGGCTTTGTCAGCTCGGAGGGAAAAGGGGGTGTGCTTGGAACTTGTCACTCGCTTTCTGTGACGTCACTGGGGAGCCCCTGCTTTGGGGCCACGGGGATTTCCCTTCTGGAACTTCTATCTGAAAAAACCCAAAGGTAGAAGCCGACTCACCTCTCAGCTCAGGGTCACCCAGGCAGTGACAGTGTCCCTCCGACAGAGTCCCATCGAACGCAACGGCAGCTGTGGAGGAAGCCGCAGAGACTCTGGGCACGGGAGGCGCCCATAACTGCGAAACCCTAGTCTGGTGACGGCCCTCTCTTCCCTTGTCCCCTGTCACGTGTGGTCATTTGGACCCAGGCCACAAAGAGCACTGAAGGCCCTCGATCCCCCACCCCGGCCTCCCACGGCTTGGGCCCTGATGCTCCTTGGCATTGGTCTGCAAAGGTCATGTCCTGTTTCTGCCTGTCACAGCGGAGAGCCTGACCCGGGTGGGGTGACACGAGGAGACTGGACGGCGTCCCAGCCTCTCACCAGTCGGGTGTCCGTGGCCTCGTTCTTTTGTCCAAAGAGAATTCCTGGAATGTCACCCGTTTTCTGATATCAGTGCAAAGGCACCTCCAGCGCCAAGTGGTGTCCTCTGGGGTCACCTCGGTGGACCTTACGGGCACCTCTTCTTCAGGATGAGAGAGATGGGCAGCCAACAGCAGATGGGGGTCCATCTTTGCAGGGTCCTGCAGGGAAGCGAGGGGAGACAGTGTTATCAGAGCAGCTGGGAGCTACAGAGGGTTTGGTGGAGAGGGAGGCCATGACCTCAGGTTCATTTTAAACATACGTCTCTGTCACCAAGTGGCCCGTAGGACAGAGCGACTCAGGACAAGGGAGGCAGGTGTAGCATCCGTCCCTCCACAACGTCATTCATTCCCAAATATCCACTATAGTCCAACCCTACGGGGACAAGAAACCAGAAATTAGTTCCCGAGTCCCCCCTGGAGTTTATGGGGGGACAGACAGGAAGCAAATAAACAAAGAGCTCATTTCCAACCGGGTCTGTGCGGGGCAGAGGATAACTCAGGGTGCCCTGATGACGAGTGGCCAGGAAGGGAGGTCATGGTCCCTTCAGAGGTCACAGGCTTGGCCTTTAGGGGGAAATGGCATTTGTGCTGAGACCCACAGAGCGGGAATGGGGGCGTCCTGTGCAAACGTGGGGTGCAGACGAGGGACAGCCAAGACCTTGAGGGACACATGAGCTTGGCATGTGGCTGCGGAGTGGCCAGGGACGCTGGTGGCCTACTCCAGGGTGGAGAGGCCAGCAGGGGCCACCCCAGGCAGCTCCTTGGGCCCAGGTCAGTTCTTCTGTGCATCAGATCCTGGGGGATGTGTCCGCCCCAGGGTGCAGGCCCCTCCCTCTGGGTGCTGGGGACAGATGCTGCCCGGAGCCTGGTGAACTTGGCCAGAGGACTTCACCGCTCCCCACGGAGCCCCCGCCCAAACCCTAACCGCCTGTCCTTCGTCTGAGGCACCTCGTCACCCCCTGGGGGCCTCGGAGGCCGCCCCAGCCAAGCAGCTGTTCCCCATTACCTGACGTCCCGTTCCTGGGCCCACGGTGACGGCCAAGTTCGCCCACACCACTCCCAACAGGGACAAGGGACACTGTGAGAACCGGGTGTCATTTCCAAATTGCAGGGCAGGCTGGTGTGGTTGGCTTTCTGAAGGAAAACACGAAATAAGTAGAATAGTTGAGCTCCGCGTTAGAGGAACTAACCCCAGACACCTGGGGGTTGGTGCCTGGGGACTTATTTTCATTCTTTTGGTCCTAACTGATAAATAGTCACAGAATAATTGGGTTAGAATTTCTTTCCCTGTTATGCAAAAACATGTTGAGGACGAGGGCAAGGACAAGAACAGAAGATCTGGGTGACCCAGCCGCTGTCCCCAAGAAGCCCCCTCTACTTGGGAGGACAGGTTTACTTCCCAATAGATTTTGGCAAGCATTGATTGGGCGCCTACTCTATACCCAACACTGCGGAGCGCTGGGGAATTAAAGTCCCTGCTGCCTGGGGACTTGCGGATCTGTTGACAACCAAGGTAACAGCGACACTAGGACACTCAGGTCGCAGAAGCAAACGCCCTCGGGTCTCCCAGTTCTCAGGACACCCTCTAATAGGTATTGTCCTTTCCTGTTTGGGCCCAGGGATGGAACCCGGGGTGCTTAACCACTGAGCACAGCCCACCCCTTCTTATAGTCGGAGGCAGGGTCTTGCTGGGTTGCTGAGCACCTCTCCTCGCTGAGGCTGCCTCTGACCTCTCGATCCTCCTGCCTCAGCCTCCCCAGCCGCTGGGATTACAGGCATGCGCCGCCACGGTAACCAGTTGTCCTTTCAATTTCAAAAAGCAGCTCTCTCCCCACGACTTGGCTCCACCCTCTCCTGGTGTGACTTCACTACCAAGCAGGACCTGCCTGTGGGGACACTGGGCTGCCCCCAGGCCATCCAGGCTCCCACTCTGTGCATTTAGAGAAAGGCCCTCCTTTCCCTATGCTATCAGAACCAGCCCCGCGGTCAGCTCTGATTGGTCCGGCTGGAATCACACGCCCATCTCTCAGCCAATCCCTGCAGACATGCAAATGTGGGCCTCCCGCTGAGAAAACTCACCAGACCACGTGGACTGAGGGCAGTCCCCACCCTCTACAGGGTCTGGATGTCCCCCAAGGGTCCCTACATGGGAAGCTTGGACCCCAGTGTGGTGATGTCAGAGATGGGACCTAGTGGGAGGGGTTTATGTCACTGGACTCAGAAGGGGACTAAGGTGGTTCCCATGGGAGCCTGGTGAGCCCTTGTGAGAGGGTTCCTGTCGAAGAGTGAGCCTGGCCCCGCCCCTGTCTCCTCACGTGATCTCCCCCTCCCACAAGCCACTGTCATATTGAAATACAGAAAAGGGGACCCTCACCAGTGGCCTGAAAGGGTCGCCTGATTTTAGATTCTAAGTGTTCACAACTTAATACTAAACTTCTCTTCTTTTTAAAGTATCTGGCCTCTGGTATTTTGTTACAGCAACACAAAACAGACTAGTTCAGCCCTCCATCTTCCAAGTTTCCCTAAGGCCACTCCTCTCAAGGACACACAGAAGCTGGGCTCTTTGGACGGGAGACCATGGCATCCAGTATGATGGAAGAAGGGTGGACGTGGAGCTCAATAGGCCTGGCTAGTTCACTGTGTGACTTTGAAGAAGGATCCTCCTCTGGGCCTCATCTGTAAACTAAGAGATCACAGTACCGTCCTTGCTGGCTTCAGGGATGATTAAATAGATGCCCATCATCGTGGCTGCCCCAGGAGATGATGCCCAACCTTCCCCGGAAGGGATTTATTATGTAGGAGAGGCTGAGTGTGCCAGGGCCCACCTGGGGGACGGGGACTGAGGGTGGGCATGGGGCTGTGGGTGGTCAGGGATTCAGCCAGGTTGACAGCATCAGGGAGGCCGAGTCTCCGTACTGCGCTCCTGGGACGAGGCCACTTGGATGAGCTGCTGTTTGCGAAGTCCTGGCCAAGCCTGTCACCTCTCCAACTTCTCGACGTTCCCAGAAGCCACTGGCCCAGAGCCTCAGCGCAGCGCTTCCAGAACAGAGCAACCAAGACTGCCCTTGGCTTCTCGGGGGTCTGCAGGAGACTCAGGGGAGTGGGAGGAAATGGACACCGGGCGGGGAATGGCGGGGTCCCTGGAGGTGAGCATGACACCCTGCAGGCAGGCCATCGAGGGGTTTGAGTCCTGGCACCGGCTATCACCACCCAGAGGAACTGACCCCTCCTGTGGGATGGGGTGACGACTGGTCACTGTATCTGTTGTGCCACGTGGAAATACAGATGTGCACAACGTGGCCACTGTGTAAAGGAAGGAAGAGGCCATCTGGGGCACCAGAGGTGCGTTAGGGCATCTCTTGATTCTGCCTGTCCTCCAGGGAAAGAACCATGACCAGCCAGTGTGCTGATGGGGACAGAGAGCAGGGAACAGGAGGCAGACAAAGGTAGTTACCAACCCCGGGACAGTCGCGTGGCCAGTTGGAGAAATGGGAACTTCTGTAGTTACGGATACAGTCATCCTTCACCTCATGGCGGAGATGCAGCCTGAGAGACATGCCACCTAACAACTGCACAGTTAGGAAACCTTGACAAACATGAACATCACAGGGGGCCCGTATGTCAACAAAACCTCTGACAGGTGCCCCCGTGCTCCTAGGGCCCCGCGAACACAGCAGGACATGACATCAGGCAATGGAGAGAGACGGATGCTCAGGAGGCTGAGGCAGGAGGATCCCAAGTTTGAGGCTAGCCTCAGCAACTCAGTTTGGCCCTAAGCAACTTGGTGAGACCCTGACTCAAAATAAAATATAACAAAAAGGCCGAGGAGGTGGCTTATTTGGAGCTTCCTGTACCTTCTATTTCCTTCCCGAGGATTTCCATTTCTTTTCTTTTTCTGCAGTTGGCTCCTCACGGCTCTTGGGTGCCGTTTTAATGGCTGCTTTAAGGTCAGGTCATGTCCGCCAGCCTCCTGATGGCCTCTGGTGACTCTTTTACTCACTCCACCTGCCATCGTCCTGGTTCTTGGTGTGACAAGTGTCCCGGGCTCTGCTGCTGTTGCTGAACACCTCTGTGTGTAAAGGCTCGGGTCCTGCTGGACCTCCCTGAGCCCATGCCCACAGGGGCCACGTGTGGCACCTGCTCGTGACTCACAGTGAAGGTCCCAGTCCAGGGTCCCTGTTTAGCCTCCTTAGCACCCAGGCGGGGGCTTTCCTGACTGTCACTGGGGGTGACAGTTCCGGCTCCCTAGTCCTTTGATGAGGGGACCTCAGTATGGGGACAATGCCCACGGTCCCACCTCCCACTGGACCTGTGACACTGCTCCCAGGGGGACAGAGGTGCCCGTCATAGCCCCAGACTTCCCACAGAGGGCGACTCCAGGGTGGGTGAGCAGGAAAAGGGGGACCCGCTGTCCAGCCCTTTAGTGGCCCCTCGGACCCCATCCCAGCAGGACGTGGAGATGCCTCCGTCCAGCCTCACGTGGATGGAAGGGAAGTCCCTGGGTGTCTGGACATACTGTGAGCGTGTCCCCCGGGGCTCACGATGCTGGGTCATGGTCCCCCGAGGGCCATGCTGTGGAGGGAGACACTCAAGGAGACGGGGCCTAGAGGTGGTCACCGGGGGCTTCACCCTTGGAAGTGACTCTCATTGGGCTTTGGGGACACTAGTCAGTCCCCACACGTGCCCCTGTATGAAGAGCACGCCTGGCCCCTGGATCTCTCTGGCGTCCCACCTCAGCCTGCGACCTCTGCACTCACAGCCCTCTCGCCAAGATGCCATCTACACGTCGTGAGGTAGCAGAGTGCCCTAAGCTGATGCCATGACCCTGGGCCTCCAAGACTGTGAGCTAAACACCCCTTTTCTTTGTAACGTTCCCAGTGTCTGGTGTTTTGTAACAGCAACAGGCCGCGGACCGAGACAAGCCCCCTCAC